TTAAGGTGTCAGCTAGCTTTAACTCTCGATGAGCAGGAAAGAGAACTAAGAGCAAAACCAGAAATCATCTTTTTGAGCGCTGCGGAATGGTGTCCGAGTGAGTGTCGCGCTAACAATTCTGCGCGGGATGGGCCCCCAACCCTTTCCCTGCCCAACAATACAACTGGGCCGCGGGCCGCCCTGCCCACCTGCCCTCCCCAAATGTCCTCCTCTACGCCACTAGGCCGCCGAATTGCAAGATTGCGAGCAACCAAACAAATAGCAGCTGATGAGAGAAAATAGGAACATAGCCCTATTCATAAAACTGTATCATCTGCTTTCAAGATCGATTCTTGATTGAGATTTTTTTAGAGTGAAGTACCCCTTGGCTCCGGGAACAGCTGCTAGTTCTCACCTGGCTTGAACCGCACGGGAAGCAGCCCGTACACCACGAAGATCCACAAGATGGGGGCTACCGTCTTTACGGTCTGCTTCATGACATTATTGTCCATCAGACTGCAGTGCTGTTCCTCGGTCTTGAACAGGGCCGGCGCTGGGGGCCCCAGGGTGCCAGAGTGGAGGGAGTGGAGGCGGCCGTTGGCGAGCGAGGTGTCCGTGCTCCTCAGCCTCGTGGCCGCCCCGACCTCGCTCTGCACGTAGGCCCTGGCGTACGCCTCGGGGGACGCGTAGGAGCTGACGCTGGAGCGCTTGCCGCCCAGGTCCTTGTGTCCTAGCGGGCTCATCCTGGACCTCCACTTGTAGTCGTGCGCGGCCTGGAACGTGTCGGGCCTTGTTATGGTGTGGGCCCCCGTCCCTGTTGTAACACTCGAGGGGGGGCAGAGAGCCCAAGGCGGCCGTCGCCGTGACCGGCCGACCGTGGCCGCCGCGCGCCCTCGTCGGGGTTCAGTGGACGTGAGCAGCCCATCTACCGGCCGCTGGGACACGGTCGTGTGCGTCGCCTCGGCGTCCAGAGGCACCGAGAAGGGCGCCGCGTGCACGATGAAGACCCCGGGCACAGCCTGGGGCGGCGCCTTGAGAGGGAGCCTGGCGGCCTTGTGCGCGGAGGAGGCCGGCGCGGACAGCTGGTCGTGCTCGGGCATGTCCCGGCCCCTGGTGTCGCGGCCCGACGGCGGCACGCCCCGGGTGGCTGCGAAAGGGGCACGACGGAACATTGAGTCATTTAGTGTGTGTGTCCCACAGCGGCCCTGTACTTTTGTTTTTTGGCCAGACTGTACTCACCCACACGTCTGAATCGCCAAACAAAAGTACAGGCCCTATGGGACACCTTGCATAGTAGGCTTGCACGCCACGTACGACGCGCTTGTCCCCTCTTTATTATGGGGGATTATTTCAACGGGAGTAAAAATTGATGCATCATTCGAGTGGCCCTGAAGTGGTCGAGGGCAGGCGTCTCGTCGGGGTCTGTAACGGCAGCGGGTGGCCGAGTGAGTGCCGCCGGTGACCCTGCTACTCCCCTGTACCGACAGCGAGCGAGACCCTCGCGCCTGACCTTGCAGGTCAGGTCACCTGGGAGGGGAAGGGGGCAGAACTAGTGCTCGACCAATGCTACTCCTGACCCAGATCACGCAGGGGCTGGTCATGGGGCCGTTGGCCGGGGCGTTCCCTCCCGCCGGCCGTCACTGCTAACGTCAGACACAAGGCTTGGCGATTACCTCGGGTAATTACTGTGGGGCTTGGCGGGGCAGGGTGTGGCGTGTAGGCGGAACTGGGGGGCACTTGTCCACTTAGCGCCCCACCCCCACCTCTCTCCACCCCCATTTAACCCCCACATAAGGCCCAAAGCGGCCCAAAGTAAAGATCTCGAGTAAGATATAATTTGTAAAAGGGGAGGAGGGTAGTTTAACTACCAAACGACTTCCCCCCGCCCCTCCTGATTAGAGCAATCCGTAGCGTGACGTGTGTTAGCTGTGGCAACCACGTTCGCACCTTGGTTTCCCTCACAGTCAAGGAAGAGCGAGGGGGCAACAACTCCCTTTAGAAGTGTACACATGATTCCCGAAATACTTGATTCCCAATAACTCCCAGTGATTCCCGTCTACTTATATTCATTCCTTAGATTTTCTAGTGGTAGAACACGCTTGATTCGACTAGTTTGTATCATTTTCATCAGTTTCCACTTAGTTTAAACGATTTCTGTTGATTTCGATTAATTTTTATCCAGACGACTCCCAGTCAGATGTACACTTCATTCCCGGAGTTATTGCCCTCTCGAGGAAGTGTGAGAAATTCACCTGCCCTCGTGACAAAACGTTGCTAAAGGGAAGCATGTGCTTGAAAAAACCAAAGTACATGAAATATCTCACTCTTGCACGCTGTTATACAACCCGGTCCCGGTGTGGGGGTGCGAGGTTTCCGAAGCCCAAATTGCACCCCCACACCTCCGACGCCACTGACGCAGAACAGTCATTGTCCCTAAATACGGACGTTTTTTTTTAGAGAAAAAGGCCTGTAAAATCTGTAGTTTTGACAACATTGAAAATCGGCGAGGATTATAAAATCTTCGGACCGAGACACACCTACCAACACCTTGAACGGTTTTATCACCTAAGGTGTAAGGGAAGGTGGGGTACATTGGGACGGATTTTTTTGTTTCGCTCTAGATCGTGAACCGTAAAGGCTAGGAAGGGCGCTCTTAGCGCAAATTGTGCATTGATATGTTGTCTATCATATCCCGTAACGTTCCGATTTTTATCGTGACAATTTTTGGCTGTGGACGAATTTTCCCAAAATGTGTCACCTGTCCCAATGTGCCCGGGTACGGGGCACATTGGGACAGGGGCGGGGCACTTTGGGACAGGCCTATTTCTAGGTGTAAAATTGGGCTACAGTCGAGGGACATAAGTTCTGTATGCAATATTTAGTATTTATTAACCATGAACAGGGATTGAACATAAAAATAAAAGATTTGTGGCGCATTTCAGTCACATTTACAAGTCTTTAGCGAGTATGAGTAAAGATCTTATTCTCGTGACACTAAAAAAATAATAAAATCACATTGCTTTGCACTTTTTGGCACCGTAACTAGAATCATTAACCATATCTTGAGAAGGCACAAGCCTGAGATCAACATTAAAACTAAATTAAGTGTTGGTCAAACTTAAAAAAATAAAACAAAAATCACATTTCTTTGCACTTTTGGCACAATAACTAGAATCATTAACCGTCACTTG